CTCCCTCCTGTATTCTCGCACTTTTTCCGCCGAAATCAAAAAATTCCCACGGTTTCCACCGTCTGTGAACGCACCCCGACTCTGTGTTGCGGTGCGGCGTTGTGAGCTGGTGCTTTTCACATGTGCTCAAGTCGTGATGAAAACACAGGGTGAGTTAGCGACAAAGTTTACACCGTTTACATTTGACATAAAGTATAGACACACGCACTGCAGCGCATTACTGTCTGTAGTTTATGAGCAGAGATGGAACAACTCCGTTTTGCTCCCATTGAAAACCATGTAAATCTGGTCTGTTTTGTAGTCAAAAGGCTCTCCTCCTGTGGGTGTACAGGAGATATATAATATATATATATATATATATATAGATATATATATATAGCTCGTAGTGTGAAAAAAAGTATTTATTTGACTATTTCACAAAAAAAGTCAAATGAACTGAACTTTGAACTAGTTCAGATTAAAATTGTGAACTTTGAACGTGAACTGTTCACTTTGAGCATGTATGAACTGAACTTGAACTAGTTCAGAAAAGTTGTGAACTGGCACAACACTGTACAGTAGGTCCCATTCCGTTTTGTCGTCTTCATTCACGCTTCTCGGGAATCACGCAGCTGCGTGAAAAATAGTACATCTTATCGCCACAAGGTGGCAGGCTAAGTCCGCTTTAGCTCTGCCAGCGACTTAGACGCTCAGGTATAAGACTGCGTGCAAACCTGTCTAGCCCAGAGGTGCTTTGTTGGCCGAATGGATAGCATTAAATACAGGGACCTGGAGAACCCAGGTTCGATTCTTGTCTGAGGCACATCTTTTGGTTGCTTGTGGCAAAATTGTTTTTTCATTAAACAATTATTATATAACATCTTGTCTTTAATGTCTGAAAAAATCTAGGTGAAATTCACTAGTGTTATACGTTAAATATTGTGATATGTTTTGATAAACCGAACGTTACGTTACATCCTCCGCTCTGGCCCCGAGAGCAGCTGCTGTGACCCCCGCTCTGACAGCTCAGTGAACGCACTGCCGTCTGGGCTCCGAGCGCGGACCATAGACACGCGGACTCACGTCTCTCTCTCTCTGCTCGCGTCTCTCTCTCTCTGCTCGCGTCTCTCTCTCTGCTCGTGTCCCTCTCTCTCTGCTCCGTCTCTCTCTCTGCTCACGTCTCTCTCTCTGCTCCGTCTCTCTCTCTTGCTCACGTCTCTCTCTCTCTGCTCGTCTCTCTCTCTCTGCTCGCATCTCTCTCTCTCTGCTCGCATCTCTCTCTCTCTCTCTCGCTCTCTCTCTCTCTCTGCTCGCATCTCTCTCTCTCTCTGCTCGCTCTCTCTCTCTCTTGCTCGCTCTCTCTCTCTCTGCTCGCATCTCTCTCTCTCTCTGCTCGCTCTCTCTCTCTCTGCTCGCTCTCTCTCTCTCTCTCTCTCTCTCTCTCTCTCGCTCTCTCTCTCTCTCTCGCTCTCTCTCTCTCTCTCTCCCTCTCTCTCTCTCTCTCGCGTCTCTCTCTCTCCTCCGTCTCTCTCTCTCTCTCTCTTCTCTCGTCTCCTCTCTCTGCTCACCTCTCTCTCTCTCTGCTCGCGTCTCTCTCTCTCTCTCTGCTCCCTCTCTCTCTCTTGCTCACGCTCTCTCTCTCTCTCTCGTCTCTCTCTCTCTGCTCACGTCTCTCTCTCTGCTCACTCTCTCTCTCTCTCTCGCGTCTCTCTCTCTCTGCTCTCGTCTCTCTCTGCTCTCTCTCTCTCTGCTCGCGTCTCTCTCTCTCTGCTCACGTCTCTCTCTGCTCACCTCTCTCTCTCTGCTCACGCTCTCTCTCTCTGCTCACGTCTCTCTCTGCTCACGTCTCTCTCTGCTCCGTCTCTCTCTCTCTCTCTCTCTCTCTCACGTCTCTCTCTCTGCTCACGTCTCTCTCTCTCTGCTCACGTCTCTCTCTGCTCACGTCTCTCTCTCTGCTCGTGTCCCTCTCTCTCTGCTCACGTCTCTCTCTCTGCTCACGTCTCTCTCTCTGCTCGTGTCCCTCTCTCTCTGCTCACGTCTCTCTCTCTCTCTCGCATCTCTCTGCTCGCATCTCTCTCTCTGCTCGCATCTCTCTCTCTCTGCTCGCATCTCTCTCTCTCTGCTCACCTCTCTCTCTGCTCACGCCTCTCTCTCTCTGCTCGCATCTCTCTCTCTCTGCTCGCATCTCTCTCTCTCTGCTCGCATCTCTCTCTCTCTGCTCGCATCTCTCTCTCTCTCTCTCTCTCGCATCTCTCTCTCTCTCTGCTCGCATCTCTCTCTCTCTGCTCGCGTCTCTCTCTCTCTCTCTGCTCGCGTCTCTCTCTCTCTCTCGCGTCTCTCTCTCTCTCGCTCACTCTCTCTCTCTCTCTCGCTCTCTCTCTCTCTCTCTGCTCCTCTCTCTCTCTCTCTCTGCTCACGCTCTCTCTCTGCTCACGTCTCTCTCTCTCCTCTCTCTCTCTGCTCCTCTCTCTCTCTCTGCTCCGTCTCTCTCTCTCTCTCTCTCTCTCCGTCTCTCTCTCTCTCTCACGTCTCTCTCTCTCACTCTCTCTCTGCTCACGTCTCTCTGCTCACGTCTCTCTCTGCTCACGTCTCTCTCTGCTCGCTCTCTCTCTCTCTGCTCACGTCTCTCTCTGCTCACGTCTCTCTCTCTCTCTCTCTCTCTCTGCTCGCGTCTCTCTCTCTCTCTCTACGTCTCTCTCTCTCTCCGTCTCTCTCTCTCTCTCTCTCTCTCTCTCTCTCTTCTCTCTCTCTCTCTCTCTCTCTCTCTCTCTGCTTCGCTCTCTCTCTCTCTGCTCACGTCTCTCTCCTCTCTCTCTCTCTCTCTCTCTCTCTCTCTCTCTCTCTCTCTCTCTCTCTCTCTGCTCACGTCTCTCTCTGCTCTCACTCTCTCTCTCTGCTCTCGTCTCTCTCTGCTCACGTCTCTCTCTCTCTGCTCACGTCTCTCTCTGCTCTCTCTCTCTGCTCACGTCTCTCTCTGCTCACGTCTCTCTCTGCTCGCGTCTCTCTCTCTCTGCTCACGTCTCTCTCTGCTCGCTCTCTCTCTCTCTCTGCTCACGTCTCTCTCTCTCTCTCTCTCTCTCGCTCTCTCTCTCTCTGCTCACGTCTCTCTCTGCTCTCTCTCTCTCTCTCACGTCTCTCTCTCTCTGCTCACGTCTCTCTCTGCTCGCGTCTCTCTCTCTCTGCTCACGTCTCTCTCTCTCTCGCGTCTCTCTCTCTCTGCTCACGTCTCTCTCTGCTCTCTCTCTCTGCTCGCGTCTCTCTCTCTCTGCTCACGTCTCTCTCTCTCTCTCTCTCTCTCTGCTCGCGTCTCTCTCTCTCTGCTCACGTCTCTCTCTGCTCTCTCTCTCTGCTCGCGTCTCTCTCTCTCTCTGCTCACGTCTCTCTCTGCTCACCTCTCTCTCTCTCTGCTCACGCCTCTCTCTCTCTGCTCACGTCTCTCTCTGCTCACGTCTCTCTCTGCTCGCTCTCTCTCTCTCTGCTCACGTCTCTCTCTCTCCGTCTCTCTCTCTCTGCTCACGTCTCTCTCTCTGCTCACGTCTCTCTCTCTGCTCGTCTCCTCTCTCTCTCTCTCGTCTCTCCTCTGCTCTGTCTCTCTCTCTGCTCACTCTCTCTCTCTCTGCTCGTCTCTCTCTCTCTCTCCGTCTCTCTCTCTCTGCTCGCTTCTCTCTCTCTCTCTCTCTCTCTCTCTCGCATCTCTCTCTCTCTGCTCGCTCTCTCTCTCTCTCTCTCTCCTCTCTCTCTCTCCGCCTCTCTCTCTCTGCTCGCATCTCTCTCTCTCTCTCTCTCTCCGCATCTCTCTCTCTCTGCTCGCATCTCTCTCTCTCTGCTCGCATCTCTCTCTCTCTCTGCTCGCATCTCTCTCTCTCTCTCGCTCTCTCTCTCTCTCTCGCGTCTCTCTCTCTCTCTCTCGCGTCTCTCTCTCTCTCTCGCGTCTCTCTCTCTCTGCTCACCTCTCTCTCTCTCTGCTCGCGTCTCTCTCTCTCTCTCTCTCTCACCTCTCTCTCTCTCTCTCTCACGCCTCTCTCTCTCTGCTCACGTCTCTCTCTCTTCTGCTCACGTCTCTCTCTCTGCTCTCTCTCTCTCTCTCTCTCTCTCTCTCTGCTCACGTCTCTCTCTGCTCTCTCTCTCTCTCGCGTCTCTCTCTCTCTGCTCACGTCTCTCTCTGCTCACCTCTCTCTCTGCTCACGTCTCTCTCTGCTCACGTCTCTCTCTGCTCCGTCTCTCTCTGCTCGCGTCTCTCTCTCTCTCTCTCCGTCTCCTCTCTGCTCACGTCTCTCTTCTCTGTCTCTGCTCCTCTCTCTCTGCTCGCGTCTCTCTCTCTCTGCTCACGTCTCTCTCTGCTCTCTCTCTGCTCGCGTCTCTCTCTCTCTGCTCACGTCTCTCTCTGCTCCCCTCTCTCTCTCTCTCTCTCACTGCTCTCTCTCTCTCTCCGCTCTCTCTCTTCTCACTCTCTCTCTGCTCACGTCTCTCTCTGCTCACGTCTCTCTCTGCTCACGTCCTCTCTCTCTCTCTCTCGTCTCTCTCTGCTCCCTCTGCTCTCTCTCTCTCTGCTCTCTCTCTCTCTCTCGCTCTCTCTCTCTCTGCTCCGTCTCTCTCTGCTCGCGTCTCTCTCTCTCTGCTCACGTCTCTCTCTGCTCTCTCTCTCTGCTCCTCGTCTCTCTCTCTCTCTCACGTCTCTCTCTGCTCTCTCTCTCTCTCTCTCTCTCTCTCTCTCTCTCTCGTCTCTCTCTGCTCGCGTCTCTCTCTCTCTGCTCACGTCTCTCTCTGCTCGCGTCTCTCTCTCTCTGCTCACGTCTCTCTCTGCTCTCTCTCTCTGCTCGCGTCTCTCTCTCTCTGCTCACGTCTCTCTCTGCTCTCTCTCTCTGCTCACGTCTCTCTCTGCTCTCTCTCTCTGCTCACGTCTCTCTCTGCTCACGAGCGCGGACCATAGACACGCGAACAGAACCACAGACAGACATTTACATTTACATTTACATACGCAGACAGAACCCAGACAGGCGGAGACACGCGAGACACGCGGATCATAGACACCTGGACAGAACCAGAGACACACGAAGCATAGACACTCGAGTCGGACAGGTCCATTTGTTTTATTTGTGTTTAAAGTTACCTAAGTTTCTCCTTGCATTAAAAATGCTTGGTGGTTGTGGATATTTAGACTGCGTGATTTGATAGAATAATACTGGCAATGTCTAATACATATCTAATTTTCAGTAAATTATAAAGAGAAAGAAAAAGAAGAGGAGGTCAAAATTCAATCCATTGAATATTGAAAGAATCAATACATTCTTGATTTTCGACTAATTCATGAGTGTTGTGTGTTTAATTGGTGCCAAAGTAACATCTTTTTAATCTTCTACAACATAGTGACTAAAACAAGTGTGCCATAACAGAGTAATTCAAAATTTACATGTTATATGTGACTGTGATGATTATGTTTGGAATGTCGATCTTTAAACCTGTTTTTCTCAGAATTCTGTTTCATAAAACCATGTAAATACGCCGACTTCAGATTATGAGAACTTTTGTTACAGACATGCTATGGAGAAAAGGAAAACAGATTTGAAAAGATATTGAAAGCAGCTTTAACACTAGCACTCGCATGGAGGTGTCATTTGGCACTTATACCTATCATCCCCTCCACGGTGTCAAATGACCCCAAGGATTTTAGCTAACAAACGAAATCACCTGTGAACGGCCAACTTTGTTATGTAAATAGGGCCGTTATCACAGGCTGAGCTTCACTTTGCCATCTTAGGGGGAGGGGGAGGATCTGAATAGTTAGTTTTTCTCCAGTGGCTTTAGTGCATTTCTCACATCACATAACATTATCATGAGCTTCAGTCAGAATGAAACATACTGTTTTATAACATTATCATGTGCTTCAGTCAGAATGAAACATACTGTTTTATAACATTATCATGTGCTTCAGTCAGAATGAAACATACTGTGTTAAAAATGTTATTACAAAATATATACAGTATATTAATTCTCAGGGTTCACAGTCTGGAAGTCACTCATTCGCAGCCCTTCGGCCCCGTCCCAATACTCGCACTTCCACCCTCGCGCCCCTCATTTGCGCGTTCCCGATAAAGGGTGCGAGTGCGTAGGGTGTCCCAATTCTCCAGGGAGGTCTTTGGCCCCGCCCCCTTTGCGCCCCTGATCCACACTTCGCCGTAGCCTGCATCTATGCGCACTCTGGCGAAGGATATTGCCCATAATTCTTTGCGGTACACACCAAAACGTCGGGAAAATGCATTTAAATATACATTTTGAAATATATATGCAGTATGTGTGTAAATAAGTTTTGCAATGTTACTTGGAAAGAAGCATAAACGTCTGATGAAGAATTACGGACATTGTGTTTTAACAATTTAATAACTTTTTAAACCAAGCGTTTATATAACATTCAATTTAAACTTTACACTTAGTACAATAATCTTAGAATGTATAAAAACTGACCAGATAACAGTTAGTTACCCACATTTAACTTAAAATTATACAGCTATCTCTAATTAGAAACCACTAATATACATGTATTTTAACGTGTGTGAAGCAATTCATTTAGTTTCCCAAAGGATCAGACAAAATTACCTTTAATTTGTATAAAGTTTAGGTCTGAAAATGACCATCTCTTGACGAGTCGATGACGTAACCTGCACTCAGTGTGCACTGTCCCAATTCCACCTTTTGTGCACACTTGTAACCTGCGCACTCAAACCCTTGCGCGCACTTCAAACAAATGCACACTTCATAGGAGGGCGTAGGGTGCAGTGTGGGTATTGGGACTGGGCCTTCCTCCCCCAGACGAATAAACAAAGCCCACCCTAGCCCCCTGTTGTTTCGGTCATCACCTCATTTGACATGCAAATGTCTTCTGTTCTCTAGATGTTACAGACAAGGCCCGCATCCTTCCACCACCTGAAGAAGATGTGCCAAGTCTGGGATCGCGTCTTAAATTCAGACAGAAGACATGTTTTATTGTCGATGGTAGAGACAGCACGAACAACAATACAACAGAATGCAAGTGTATTATACAGAGCGGAGGCATGGAGACCTCCAATCAGCAGCTTCCACGTTGTACTTGTAGCTTGGCCTTCAGATAGACAAAACATGAAGTGGAAAAGTACAGGCTTCTGCACATTGATAGAATGATGAGTTTAACTTTAACAAAAGTTGCTTAAAAGTGTTATGAAATCTCACATTCCCCCCCTCTGGTCACACATTCACGTGTGACCATCAGGATCGATAAACAGCAACATAACATCATAACTCAATACTTAAACTCGGTACTTCAAAAAACTCAGAAAACTCATAAAACATTTTCAAGAATGTCAGCTCTGATAAAAAATTACATGACTTTAAAATAAACATTTATACCAATATGCTTGTGTTCTGAAAAAATAAAACCTTTTAAAGCTTTTCCACGTCAACATTTATTTTTCAATATGTACACTTAAATGTAACTATATATATTTCAATATTACATTTTGAAACATTAATATTTATCTTCCAACAGAACTCTGTACCATTTTTCCTTACCACTCCAGTTTTAACAACAAAAAAAAGTAAAAAGATGAGTAGACATTTTTTTTAAAGATTTCTAAAAACTTTCTTGAAGGACTTTGGTTTTAATCATGTTCTAGTCGTTTACGTCTCATTCAAATTCTGAAGTTGTATTTAGAGGGAGTCTGATCAAATACATATATATATATATATATATATATATATATATATATATATATATATAAAAAATTCCTTGTGATATACAATATTTTAAAAAGGAAACAACTACCAATAAAAAGGGCAATGTGAAATGAATATTTTCATCCAAATTTTGATTTTGTTTTCCTGCCTTTAAAAGTTTCAGAACCCCTGTCCTACACAATGTGGTAAAATTACTAAATCATAGTGAGTGAACAGATAATTCCCAAATGAACAATCCACATCCCTAGGACAAAAAAAAAAAAATGGCTACATCTACTGCAGAGGGAATTACAAAGGTGTCTGCTGCAACACACAAACATGCAGTTGCAGTTCACAAAACTGATACATTGTGCTTCTAAGCCTCTATAACTCACCATTTTGAATTTTCAAACACTTTTTATATTTGAACAATGTTAGAACAGGGTCAAAAGTGAGGATTCCTTAATTCAAACTTTAAGACAGCTTTTTAAGGAGTGAACTGTATCTCACAGATGCTCTTGGTTTCACAGGACTGAGACCAATCAGTAATCTCTGAAAAGTTTCAAATGTGTGCTGAAGCTTGGGTGGGTATTTCAAGTCCAATGCGTATATAACGCCAACAAGAATACAGGAGGCCTTGGCTACAGTGCCCAAACCTGTAATGCATTGAAGGCCATCAATGCTGATCTCGTACGTGTCACCAACTTTGACAATCTTCACTGGATAGGCGATATTCTGCCGAGTGTCTTCAGTTTCCTCCAGACTCTATTTGAGAGGGAAAAATACATTAGACATTGATATGTTTTGATAGTCAATGCAATAGGTTGTGTTCACGTGTTCATTTAAAACTGAGGTGGAGGGCAAGTGAAAATTCCATGGCGTTAACTATGGTAACTGGCAAACTGCATATTTTTTGTCTTAGTTTTTGGTTAATGAGTAGTAGTACTCCTAGTATTGACTGAGATCATTACTAGGAGAATCCACATGAAAAAAACTGTCTCAAAGTTCATTGACTCCTCTTTCAGCACATAATGATTTCAAAAATTGTCATTGGTTTATATTATAAACCAATGACAATTTTTGAAATGATGAGCGTGATGTTGGTCAGTAGAAAGGACTTTCAGCCATACAAATAATAAAGTGGGTTAGTAAATCTAATCACTGTCAAATACTGAAGAGGAAAAACATTTGTCAATTTTTGTTTGAGAGTTCGTACAAAAACTGTATTTCTCCCATAGAGTTGTATTGACAACTGCCCATCATCACATTCTAAAACGTGAACGCAACCTATTCAGAGAAACTGACGGCTGATGAGCTGTGCAGACATTTTCAAGTCGATTATATCTGTTTAATTTTGAGATTTGTCACTAAATTACATAATTTGTGTCTAAATGCATCAGTAACAGCTTAAATATATTTGATACAACACATAAATTCAGCCATTATGTATGTTATAATGTTGCAGGAATTATTTGACGGTACAAATATATATTGTTTGTTCAATTAATGTTTAGAAAAAGTGAGCACACTGTGTGGAATTTCTCACATTTCTGCCTAAATTAGTTTGACAGTAACATTAGACAATATTTGAAGAAAGAAAAGAACTTCCACAAGGAGACGGCGACATGAGGTGCCAAACACATACGCACATACTTTCCCTTTTGACGAGCTGCCATTTAGTGAGTACTAAAGAGCAAAATAAGACAGGACAATGACCCCTGCCTCTGATTGTAGTTTCACGTGCGTTTCAGATAGCACAGTTTTGTGTTAAATATCCTGTGGTATCACTTACGGAGCGCGCATGTGAAGTCATGCGGTAGTTGCAAATGTAAATAATGGTACATGGCAAATCATCTCCTTTACCTACTATTAGAAGTACCAGACGCTGATATTTTATTGTCACAAACTCATGTTTTTGTCTTAAAGCATAGCGATAGCGGGTTAGCTCAAGCTTCATCATTGTTTTGTTTAGTTACACTGCAGTCTGGAAAGAGGAGAGCCGACATGCGCAGAGGGATACAGCCGAGCATTTCATCCAGAGCGGTTTTGTAGCCACGAATTACATTTAAAACTCGGTTTAGAGCGGCGCTATACTGTGGAGTTTTCACCAGATTATCTACTGTAAGAAAGTCTGAAATCTACGTTTGATCGGCCCCTCTGATCGGCGCATTTCACCAATCACCGATCACAAAAATTAGGCCGTGATCGACCAATCATGATTGGTGACAGATCAGATCGGTGCACCTTTAATTCATACCATACAGGTCCAGCTGCTTTAGCCAGCTCATGTTCATTCATGTCCAACTGAAGTTTTCCAGTGACCATTCCATCCAGAGGGCTGGGGGAATGTCATATGGTCAGATGTTTGTGAAGGCTCTCATTCATCCAGGGAGTGTCCATCTTATAAAAAGGTTAAATCATCGCCAGGACTGGGTTTTGGTAAAGTTGAGTGATATTGAAAACAATTTGAATAGACATTTTTGGCAGTTTTGGTTCTCTCCTTCTGGAAGGAACCTGGGTCTTTTTAGTTTTTAGTCCAGTTTGGGTAAGTGTTCTTTTATGACTTTAAGAGCTCTGAAGAAGCTTGTGTCACTAAAAGCGAAACATCCTCAACTTTACCAAAACCCAGTCCAGTAGATGATTTAACCTTTTCTACATGATTGTAGATTATTCTATGGTCAAATGAGACCAAAATGTTTTTTAAATAATCTGCATATGCTGACTTTTAGCATATGCAGAGGATGAAGAGGATTTGGTGATACTACTACTCTTAATGATAGACATATCAGCATAAGGTACGGTACTTTTTTTATACCCTGAAAAAGAAAAGATTGGAAATTTTACCTGTAGATCTGAAATCAAGTCTCCTGGCTTCTCCCCCATGTATTCAATTAGGCCTCGGATTACGACTTCCCTCCTCTTTTCTATAGCAGCGGTTGGATCCTACGAAACAACATAGAAATAAAAAACACCACGAATTAGGAAGTATTCAGCACTTCTTATCTTGAATATGTTTTCATATTTCTGATTGTGTTCATTTAGATATAAAAACGTATATAATGACAAATGATGGAAAATCTCCTCTCTTGTTGCCAAGGACTCACCGCAAATCTTGCGGTGAGTGTAATGTATAATGTATAATGCCCCCCCCCCAAAAAACTATTGCATCCCTAGCGAGTACATTACATTCACTTAATTTATTAACAGTTCTTTTTGTATCACACTTACCTCCTGCTGTAGCTTTCCTCCATCAATTGGCAGCAGTGAAAGGAAAAATCTAAAATAAAATAAAATAAAATTAATAAACATGCTTAAAAATACTCTTCATTGGACAAATATAAGCATTTAAACAGGCGGTGCTGCTTTTTACATATAAAAAATGCATTAGATTAGTACAAACAAAGTGCTTTGTGCATTTTGCGTTACTACACGTGATTCCACAAAAAACATGCTATACCACAACATGTACCTGTCTTTAGCTGAATGTATTACCTTGTCAGGACTTGACATTAAGTGCTTTGAGGTACTTGAAGTGGCAGGTATTTTTTACTTGCCCGGAAACAAAACCTACTTGTCCAGCAAAATATCGTTTATTTCAAAATTAACATGCCAAAATGTTGTTCATATGAAATGCGAATGTAAGTCACATTAGATTTTTAACATTTCCACTCTAATTTTGTGACTGCAATAGGCTATAGCAGTCACCCTCAGTATGTTCTTTTAAAAATGCATGTTTATAATGTATCACTTATACTTTGTTTGGGTTTTTTAAATGTGCTGCAGATTTCTGAATTTATTTGAACTTATCATAACTAACCATATAGCTGCACATTGGCTAAAACAGACAGGCCTTGATATAATACAGTGATGCTGATGCGGACGGGTCATAACATTAACAACATGCAGTAGCTGTTAACTTAACGTTAGTTTTCTGCTGAAACAAGCTACTTTCTGACCGCGAGGAAATCAGAGCGATCTCAGATAGCAATAAACATGTTTTCTGCCTCCGCACCATGCTCTGCACCTGTCTCCTCCTTGAGAGTCGCTCCGCTGAGCTAATGTAACTAGGGACTTCTGCGGGGAAATGAACTGTCCCCAAGAGTAGAAAATAATAGAAGATTAATAAATGTCACGTGGCTTCTGTTGCCAACTGTATTTTCCACTTGCACCTCCGGCAACAAGACAGAGCAGGACAGTAGCGACTTTGGTCTACTTATGTTAGCTGCGTACCGTTAGCAACAGCTAGCTAGAAGCTAGCAGCTCCAAACTGCGAAAACTACGCCTGTTATTATGGTTCAGAACATTTAAGGGGTAGTTGGTAATGTTACGAGTCTTAACACAAATCACTTTGCTAAACAACGAAATTGTAGGACCATTATACTGGCACAGTTTTATGCTAACAACATGTTTGGGGCTAGAGTAGACAGTTAACATGAAGTAATTTTGGACACGAACTGCCAAGAAAATAAAACGACGATTTGACCACAGATTGTATATATTTGATCAAATACGCGACAAACCTTACAGAGAAAGCACCATATATTTAAAAAATCTTACTTTGAGTTGGATCTCACGGGAAACCACACGACCGTGTCCAAGGCTGGCTCAGCGCCCATCACCAACAACAAGCTCGCGGAAACGGTCCGAACCGGAAGCAAACTCCCGCCCAGTAGAAATTACTTTGTCTGAACACTTATTGATAGCGTCAGATTTAAGAAGCACTGCACTGCCAACAATATTTTTTCAAAATTTAGTTAAATACACACACAAAACGTATTTGTGGGTATATTGTTTTTGTTTTAGTAAATGGAAATTATTTTTCTAATATTAAAACCATAAGAATAAATTTTAAGTCCGAAATTGCAAATACAAGTACTTAGGTTCAAAGTTGCGCTTGCAACACTTTTCTCAGTGTGCAGTAGTTTTAATGTCTGCGGGTTATTCCAGAGACTGGCCAATGTAACCCTGCTCACAAGTGCCACCTGGTGGTTGTTTTGGTCATTGCAACGTCACTGGGAGGGGGGAAAATAAAAGACGCGTGAATCACACAAGACTCACGTGTGATTCACGCGTGAAAGGCGACAAAACGGAATGGGACCTCCTGTACGTCAGTACGTATCATGTTTGGCTGTAGACAGAAAAGCCACAGAAAAGTGGGATATTGCTAATGCTACCAGCAAAATGTACATATAAATCTGCTCCAGTGTGAGGGGATGCATTGTTAACGATAATGATAAAGATCATGTAGGATGAATTTGGGCAAAAATAGACATTTTATTTAATCGATAAAATTGACTGGGGGGAGAAGGTACGGGTCAACATCCAGTTAGGCAATCCTAAACTTCTCCAAATACCACTCTTTGTGAGCCCTGACCTGATGCTCTAGTCCACCTATAATCAAACTTGAAGCAGCTCATTCACAATCACGTGACTGGATCACGTTGATGCATCTGGTCAATATCACTGGCGCAGACAGACCGACGTCACACATACAAACTCACGTCATAGAGAATTACAGAGTCAATAAAGAGGCAAGGACTAAATTCAAATGTAGTTTGAACTAAAATGTCAAAAAAATGACATGTAGAGTACTACAATTAACATATTTATGCAGTTTATGAGTTAAAAAAAGTTGATTTGGTGTTTAGTTACTCTTTAAAAAACTGGTCACTTGTCACCATGTCCTTAAAACTCTGATTCATTTTCCCCTTTTCTGTCATAGTTTCCCATGTTACGAGTTAGCGTACCTGTCAGCTTGTGAGTTTTTTGTCCGATTTTCCCTATGATTTTTGTTGTTGTCGTCTTTTTCTGTCTTGCGTAAGATCCGAACATCCAGTTTGCGAACCAGCTTCCTGTCTCCACTGCTTACACGTTTTTACTTTTTGTAATTAAATCTTTGTTTGAGGGTGAATCCAACCATGCCTCTCTGCTTTGGGGTCCAACACACAACCGTAACAAGAGAGGATGAGGAGAGAGGGACGAAAATGTGAGTACCATTTAACCATAAAGTTTCCAGTGATGTGTACCCGTGAACGCATGTGTAATTAATGACACTCTACTCGTAATTAAAACCCCTTGGCTTTCTCCTCACATGGTTAAAGCAGCTGTACAGACAAGGTCCTTATCATCAGACAAGACATAAATTTGGTGACAGTATCACAAGACTGCACCTGCTTATGTTACACCTGTCACTGCGGCAATCATAGCTCATCCTGTCAATGGATGAACTCCCGTCTGTGCTCCGTGAGAAAGTCACACTGGCATTATCCTCTCGAGTGGCTCCAAGGAGGGATGATATATCCATTTTCAAAAATTAGATATTGTTGTTTGAAGGGAGACACCTCCAGAACTGGGAAAATGACAGATTTCCCCCAGGAGCAGCATCAGCCTTGACTTGTAACTACAACTTAATATAATGTCAAATTCTCCGGAGATAATGCAGTGACTCCAGCAAGTGAAGATGGGGAAAATAGTAATTCTGCATACACACATCAACCAGGCTCTGGCGGACAAGTAAGGAAAGGTATAACGAGAGGGAACAGAACAATGGGGATTTCTAAAGTACAGTGTACAGCACAGTGGTCCCTTGTTTGTGGCGGGGGTCATTTTATAAAGATTACTCGCAATGCGCAAAATCTACAAAGTAGCAGCGATATGTTTAAAGGTTTTAAAACCCCTCACAACACACGTTATGCACTTTTCTGACTACCTGAACTCACTTCTCATTACTCATTACTGAAGTATGATCCGGTTCAGTGCCATTTGGTGTTAGTCCAAGATATGGAGAGACTGGCAAGGCTGTCTTTTAAAGGAATAACTTTTTGTTTATGATTGTCTTGTGTGTCTGTTTTAAATTGGATTTAGAATCTGTAATAAAGTTGAATTGAATATATCTTTATATACAATATAAATTCATGTCTCAAGCATTGACTTCTTAGATCTCTCCAGTCCATACATATGCATGCAGAGATGATAAGATGGTTAGTTACCTTTGCCACCGTCTAAAATGTTCTGATGAAATATTAAGTCCTGTACAAAGTGCCCGGAGACAATACAAGTAACATGGGAACAATGTTAGGCCATCAAGGCACATGAGAAAACAATAGGGAGAAGCACTTAGAATGAAATTTTAATGTGACTTCAATAAAGTATTCTGTTGTCTTTTCCAGAAGTGTGTCTAATGGTAGAAGCTTTGGCAAGCGGTCCTCTGGGATGTGTTTTAGACCCAGGCACTTTTCACATGCCAGTTTATATGAAATCTCCCCATGTATCCATTCTTTAGGCTGTCTATCATCCTCACACCACCCAGGGGAAGGAGCAGATACTTTGGCCAGAAAATGACACAGTGGCCTGTATACAGTACCTACTATGATATTTCATTTTTTTTATAATACATAATGAAAAAATCCAATCAAACAATAAAAATAATGAATTCCCATGCTGTACTCCATTTGGGTCTGTGTGTAGATAGATAGATTACATGTAAGCTAATAAACATGTAAGCTATTACAGCTATTCATCTCATTCTATGTGCTCCCTGTAATCTGTTCTGCAAATATACACTGCAACATTGCCTTTCCCCACTGTGGGACAAAAAGTTCAATTGCTAAAACATATTACAATGTGGATTTTCCCTACTTTGACCACCTGACATACAGTTACTAAAAATGTGGACAATTTATTTGAGAAGTAAAACAACTTGTCATCTTTGAGCACTGTGACGGATTGATGGATGTTCAGTGTGGACACCTTGATCGCCCAGGCTGTCGAGCTGTGGGTCCTGCTTGATCACTGTCAGAGGCCTGAGTCGGTCATAGATTGCTGTATGGACCAGGGACCATCCAGATGACCATTCGTGTCGATCAAGCTGTTCACATTTGAGATGAAAATAGCTCCCTGTGAAGACCATAGAGCCAACACCTATTGATAGAATTGTAGAAGGTTGTTGGGTTTTTCTCTGAACTGAAATCCTTCAGTTCTGCTTTTTCAGGCAATAAGTCAATAATTAATTATATCAAATCAAAGTATAGTACACAGAGTACTATCTAATACAGCCTACATATTAAATATCAACATGCTTTGGATCTTTTCATGATTTGGTACTCTGTTTTAATTTGTATTATTGGTTGTCCTTTGTCCTTGAAGTTTCATCTCCTGTTCCTGTGATTGCCTGTCCCACCCTAATGTAATTCACCCCTGTTTTTACATGCCTTTACCTTTTAAAAGGTAAAAGGTAAAGGCATTTTACTCTTTTACTCTGACTCCTTGAGCCAAAGCAAATTCATAGTTTGTGACTTCCTGTTACTTACAACACCAATGAAAACAATTCAGATTTTTTAAAGATAAGATAAGATAAACCTTTATTAGTCTCACAGTGGAGAAATTTCAGTGTCATCGTTGCGCACATTACAGCAGAGAAAGGAAATAAGCGCCCCCAGATTGCACACATCAAAGTCTATTATTTAATATTAATTTAAATTTAAGATAAAATAAAATAAAATAAAATAAGATAAACTCTGGGCTATAATTGCACTTGGTTCGGCGTATTTACAGATGTCTATATTATACATTAGCAGCGGAGAATATGAGAATATGAATATGAGCAGAATAAACATCAGAAATAATATCAACAGGTAAAGTGACTTGAATGGGAGAGTTATCAAATGGATATGTAAAATACAGTAAGATATCAACAGGTAAAGTGACGGTGAAAGGCAGAATTATCAGATATGAAATAATATAGTAGTACTGATAACAGTAAATATCAGATATGTAATACTGTAGTAGTACTGATAACAGGTAAAGTGACTAGTGACAAAGTTGCTAGTGAATTATCAGTGACACTTGTGCAGACTCAGCAGTTCCTGTTACACATTCTCGTTGTACAGTCTGACAGCAGCAGGAAGGAAAGACCTGCGAAACCTCTCCTTCACACAGCGAGGGTGAATTTAGTCTGTCACTTTCCAGTTATGCGACTGGAGAAGCCACCTGTAGCTCATGGGTATCTCCGTGAGTCAGAGTCCATACATTTGAATGGGGAGAGTAGGCCACACTCTGTACCAATTTTGGTCTATTTTTTCACAAACAGTGATGACAGAAGCAGGAGTGCTGCACAGCTGGCACACCAGAGCTTGCAACCATCACCAACCATTCCTATTGAACCTCCTACTGCACCGGAATATGTGCATTATAGCTACTGACAGAGCTTTCACATGTTGTTGTATCCAGCAATGTGATTCACAGGGAAAGAGTGCGGAAATGCCATTGTTCCACAAAGAATGTGTATTTTGCTGCTTTTTACTTCCAACCTATTGCCCCTTCTACTTCCAGTAAAAATCTCACAATTGTATGAAGACAATTTTTGGAAGAGTGTGAAACTTTGCCAGGGCTTAACTTTGCGCAGAAAGAGGAAACAGATGTCCTTTTGTTGGAGGGCACAGCATTCATGAGTGAACAAGCACCACAAAGAATAAGCCACTGTAGAAGCAGAGGTTAGTGTTGTGCAGTGCAGCAAATCATGTCAGAGACGTCAGGGAAGGACGCAAAGACTGGAGACGAACATTCAGATGTGTCCAGGCAGTGCGTATGCTGTGTTTATGATTGGTTGATTATAATGTTAAACAAAATCAACAAGTTCTTAAATGCACATTAATTGCATAATATTTCAGCAGGCAGGCTTCAGTTGAATTAGAAGGAATAAAAATAAATAATCAGCTGGTGATTATTTATTTTTATTCAGATACATTTGCCTACCTACTGAAATTGTACTAACATTTGGGTTAGGGTGTTTCTTATTTTTGAAGATTCGATTTTTCCATGGGCCACCCTGCCATTTGGTTCATTATCACAAAAAAGTAATACCCTATATATTTTATTTTTTTAGAAGGATTTTTAGGGGTCGCTACCGACCCTACAGTATCATGTGCATGTGCTTTGATACTACTGTAGCCAATACTGGGCCATGAAATGGGGCTTGCATTCTTCTAGAGCAGAAGTTTGGGAAAGATATGTTGTGGTTGGCATGTCGTCATCACATTCTGGAAATTATTTTGGAAGCAGTAGTTTTGCTGTGTCTCGGCCCTTCAAGTGGACCTGACATACCACTCTTTAAAAGATTTCAGAAAAGTTGGGTCTCAATTGATTCTACAAAGTACCACACAGCACAGTCTGATAAGAACGGTTCAAATGCTCTTACCGATATCACTGATGAAAGAATCGTCTTTTGCAAAGATCAACTACAAATCTTTCAACCTCGTGACGACTACCGAGAACTTTTGGAGTTGTCTATTGTTTTTTTGGGAGGAGTACCTTTGAGGGGCATTTCATTTAGAGCTCCTGCCGGTCTACACCGTGCTCGCTGGATGGCGAAAGCTATTTATGCGTTGAAGATTTGGATGTTTAGAGACCAATTCAGGTTGACAATAAGAGAGGAGAAGGGAATAAGGGATATTTGCCTTTTCACGGTTCGACTGTACATTACAGCCTGGTACAGATCTCCTGAAGCAACCTCAGCTCCTAGACTTGATCTGCAGCTCTTGAAAGACTTGGATGCCTACAAGACCCAGCATCCTGAGATCTCGAAAATTGCTGTCAAGAAGTTACAAGGGCATCTCTGGTACCTATCAGGGGAACTTGTTGCTTTAGCTTTTTTTGATGATGAGGTTCGTCCTGAGACGAAGGTCAAGATGGTCCAAGCATTGAACAATGTTTCAGATCAGATACCTATGAAACGGGCTACTGTGGACTGCTCAGTTATCCAAGAAAAGAAGCTGGAGGACTTTGTCACGTTTAATACACGAACATTTTTCAGCATCACAGGACTTCCATCACACTTTCTTCAAAACAGTGTGAGCGAATGGGAACAGGATGATGAGTTCAAGACTATAAAGTCCACTGTTCGAAGCATGAAGGTTGTCAACGACATTGCAGAACGTGGCGTAGCACTAATGGACGAATATAATAGACTACATACAAACAACGAAGAGCAAAATCAGTTCCTGTTGTTGGTAGTTCACAAATATAGACAGAAATATCCTGACAGAGAAAAGACAACTCTCATGAGCGATTAATCTTAGTACAGTAACTATTGTCCTAAATAAACCTACAATCAAAGTAAAAAAGCATGTTAATTCTGTCTTTTAATAAATAAGTAGAAATGCAATGACAGAAAATGGAATATTTTTAATGCATGTAACAAGTAAATAAATGTGT